AACTAGTGGGAGGCACAGTGGCCCCCGCCTCTGTTGCTGCTGCTGCTGCTGCTGCTGGCGCTGAGCTGCTGCTGTTAGTCATCTTGTTGCTGCTTCTGCATGTTCTGCATGTGCTGCTGCTTCCGTTGCTGCTGCTGCAGGGGATCGTTGGGATCGAGTGGAGGGCCCCACACAGGGTCCCCGAGCAGCTGCAGCAGTAACAGCAACACCAGCAGCTACAGCAGCAGCAGCAGCAGCAGCAGTGCTGCTTCTTGTATAAGAATGTATAAGAAAAGAATTATTTGCAGCACATTTATGTTGCATTTCTAAAGATACACTTCTCCCTCTGCATGTATTGCTGCTGCTGCTGCTGCTGCTGCTGCTGCTTCAGGCCGCCGCCGACACTTGGCAGCAGCAGCAGCAGCAGCAGCGCCTGCGGCGGCAGCAAAAGCAGCAGCAGAATCAGCAGAACCCAAGGAAGACAACGTAATTAACTCTTTTTATCTTCTTTATATCTTCCTTCTCTCTCCTTAAGAAGTGTCTATCTTAAAACAACAGCAGCAGCAGCAGCAGAAGCAGCTACAGAGTTAGCAGCAGCAGCAGCAGCAGCAGCAGGGAAAACAGCAGCCTTCTTGTTGGGCTGCAGCTGCTGCAGTTTTGGACTTCCCTTATTTGTGTGCTCCCTCCAGTGATGGCAAGTGGCACTCAGCAGCACCAGCAGCAGTAGCAGCGACAGCAGCAGCAGCAGCAGCAGCAGCAGCATCACTGGGAGCAAAGCAACAGGAATGGCACTGCATGAACAGCAGCATGAAGAAGATAAGGAGCAGCAGACACAGCAGCAGCAACAGTCCAGCAGCGGGACTAGCGGCGGAAGCAGCAACACTGAGGAGACTGCAGCAGCAACTCCAGCAGCAGATGCTGCTGCAACAGATGTTGCTGCTGCAGATGCTGCAGTAGGAGATGCTGCTGCAGCAGATCCTGCAGCAAATCCTGCAGCAGCAGCAGGTGCTGTAGAACATACTGTTGAAGCAGATGCTGCTGCTGCAGATGCTGCAGGACTAGATGCTGCAGCAGCAGATGTTGCTGCTGCAGATGTTGGTGCAGCAGATCCTGCTGCTGCTGCTGCTGCAAATGCTTCTACAGGGCTAGATTTGCTGCTGCCTTCTGCAGATGGACAAAGGGGGAGAGAGGATACAAGCATTAATCTTCCCGTGATACCTGCTGCAGCAGCAGCAGCAGCTACAACAGCAACAGCAACACCTGCAACACCTGCTGCTGCATCAGCAGCAGCAGCAGCCCAAGCAGCACCTGCAGCAGCAGCAGCGACAGCAGCAGCAGTTCGCGCAACAGCAGCAGCGGAAGCATCAGTATCATCTGCAGCCAACCGTCTACCGTCTTTCCCCACCACCAGCACCGCCTCCACCTCCAACACCAGCAGCACCGCCACCTGCAGCAGCAGTAGCAGCAGCAGCAGCAGCAGCAGCAGCAGCAGCAATTTAGTATTTTTACGTGCTGGTTGGCTGCAGCGTCAGACTCGTCATACAAGAAGATTTGCCTTTCGTTTCCTTTTGCTGCAGGGATCGATCCTTTATTCATTTAAGCGTCTCCCCTTCCTTCGTTGCTGCCCCTTGAGCAGCAGCAGCAGCAGCAACAGCAGCAACAGCAGCAACAGCAGCAATAGTAGTTGTTTAATGGTAAGAGACGAAGACCTTGCTGCTTGGATAGACTTTGCTGCTGCTACCTGCTGCTGGCAGCTAAGAGGCAGCAAAATAAATAAATTTTTTTATGATAAACAAACAGCAACATTTAGATGGACATTAACTGCACCTAATTTGCTGCTGCTGCAGCGCATGCAGCAGCAGCAGCAGCAGCAGCAACAGCAGCAGCACCAACAGCATCAGAGTGGGGCAACGCAAAGGGTCAAACGAGGCACACGAGAACCGCAGAACAAACGACTGCAGCAGCAGCAGCAACAGCAGCAGCAGCTAGGTGGCAGCACAGCTGCCTGGTTCCCGACAGATACAGCAGCAGCAAGTGCAGCAGCAGCAGCAGCAGCAGGGTGTACAGACACGAGTGACGATGAAGATGTATGCTCGGAACCGTTTGCTGCTGCTGCAGCAGAAGCAGCAGAGGCAGCAGCTGAGACGGCAGCTGCCGCTGAGAGTGCTGCTGCTGCTGCTGCTGCTGCTGCAGTAGCAGAACGCGAGACAGCAGTAGCTCTTGCTGCATGCACAGAAGAAGTAGTGTTTGCTGCTGCTGCAGCAACAGCAGCATATGATTGGATGCGTCTTATGGATAGCTGCTGCTACCTAGGGGGCCCTGCTGAGGTGTACATACACCGCAGCGCTGCTGCTGCATTTGCTCCTTCCCCCCTTGATGGCCTTCCTTCATGGTTATTTGCTGCTGGATGGTTGTCTCTTGCTGCAGCTCGATGGAAGCAGCAGCAGCAAGCAGCAGCAGCACAAAAAGAAGCAGCAGCAAAAGGAGCAGCAGCCATAACGGATACTGCACCAGCCAGCGAGCAGCAGCAGCAGCAGCAGCAGCAGCAGTTGGGGAGGCTACAAGATCGCTTTCTTGAGCATTCTTTGTTGCAGTCTCCTGCTGCATCTGATCCCCTTGCTGCTGCAGCAGCAGCAGCAAGAGGAGAGAGAATGTTTGTCTCCTTGCGTCTGTTGGCGCTGCACGATTTGCTGCTGCCTGATGGCTATGGTGTCTACTGTCTCCTTGAGTATCAATCTAGTGTCTCCTTTTTTGGTGTATATGGAGGAATGCCTGCTGCTGCTGCTGCTGCTGCAGCAGCAGCAGCAGCAGGGGCAACTGCTGCACCGGCAACAGCGTCGAGGCCATGGGCAATGAGTATGTACCAGCAACAGCAGCAGCAACAGCAGCAACAGCAGCAGCAGCAGCAGCAGCAGCAGCAGCTAGCTGGATTAGTTGCTTCTCCTTCTTTATTTCATAAATGGTTCAAGAGAGCAACAGGGTCTGCTGCTGCTGTATCCTTTTGTCGCCGTTTGCTGCTGCTGCTGCCTCCTTGCTGCATCTGTCTCCCTGTCTTCTATCCTAGGCCACAAGAAGATTTGCTGCTGCACTTTATTGCTGCACCTCTTGAGCAGCAGCAGCAGCAACAGTATACAAAGGCAGCCAATAGGCGAGAAGGAAGCAGCAGCAGCAGCAACAGTAACAGCAACACCAGCAGCACACTTGCAGCAGGGCAAGCGGGGATTGCAGCAGCAGCTGCTGCTGCTGTTGCTGCTGCTCCTGTTCCTCAATCTTTAGACATTTCTGCTTCAGCAGCAACAACTCCTATGATGCGGGAACCGATCGAAGCAGCAGCAACAGCAGCAGCAGCAGCAGCAGGGAGTATAGGGCAGGTGTCTCTTCGTGTAGGAGGGGGACAAGATTATTATCTATGCACATTTAGGCTGCAGCAGCAGCAGCTAGGGTGTGGGGCCCCACAGCTGCAGCAGCTACGGGGGTTTTGTGTATCTACAGCTAAGCATCCGCTGCTAGAGAAGTGCAAGAATATACCTTCTGCTGCTGCTGCTGCTGCTGCAGCATCCGCTGCTGCTGCGCATGCTTCTGCTGCCGCAGCAGCCAGAAGAGGAGTTGAGTCACCTCGTGCTGCAGCAGCAGCAGCAAGACACTTCGTGACGCAACAACAACGACAGCAGCAGCAGCAGGTGGAGTTAGATCTGCAGCACGAGCAAGAGGATGGCTCTCGCCATGAAGAGAGCGTTGCTGTGCATGAAGAAGCAGCAGCAGCAACAGCAGCAGCAACAGCAGCAGCAGGAGGAGCAGCAGCTAGCTGTAGCAGCACATTAGTATTAGAAGCAGCACTAGAAGGCAGCAGCTGGCTGCAGCTGCTGCAGCACCAAGCAGAGGTATTCGATACACCGCAACCCTTTAAGGAAATATGCATGCATGCAGGAGAAGGAGCAGCAGCAGATGCAGGAACATTAACTCCTCTGCAGCTAGTTGTGCTGCAGCTCAAGAGATTGCAGCGGCTGCAGCAGCGGTTTGCTGCAGCAAGGAGACACTTAGGTTATGTATTTGATTTTAGTTACCCTTGTGTCTCCTTTGCTGCTTTCTTTTATCTTATTGCTGTTGTTAGCAGCACACCTACAACAGCCCTGCTGCTGCTGCTGCTGCTGCTCTTAGTGCTGCTGCTGCTTATGCACCCAAGAGCAGCACAAAACGCTGTCGCTGCAGCACATAAATTACCGCTGCTGCTGCTGCTGCTGCCGCAGCAAATGCTGCCGCTGCTGCTGTTCAAATGCTCAGCAGAACAAAATCCTGCTGCTGAAATCGTAAGACAAACAGCTGTTGCTGCTGCTGCTGCTGCTGCTGCTGCTGCTGGAGGGTCGAGTGCAGCAGAAGCAGAGGCAGCAAAGCAGACAGCAGATACACTCAAGAAAGATCCGTCTCCTTCAGCAGCAACAAGTGCTGCTGCTGTTGCTGCTGCGCTGCTTATGCTTCATAGACACCAACATCTGCAGCTGCAGCACCCTGCAGCAGCATCATCATCAACAGCAAAAGGCGACAACCAGCACACTACCAATACTCAAGGCAGCAGCAGCAGCAGCAGCAGCACGCCTGTCGCAGCAGTGAAGGAACAACAACCTTTAGTGCTGCAGCATAAGCAGCAGCAGATGCATCAACCTATGTGGTGCTGCTGCTGCAGCATTAACTGCCAAGGGAGCGAGCCCATGAAGTTGGTGTCACCTTTGCTGCTGTCTCTGCAGCAGCGGAAGCAGCAGCAGCAGCAGCAGCATCGCTGCAGCAGCAGTGGCCCAATAGCGCGCTTCTTCTGGGGGGCACTATGTAGGGGTAGTTTGCTGCTGCACCGCATGCAATTGCTGCTGCTGCTGTCAGCAGCAGGAGGCTGTCCAGGCCCCCTTACTGCTCAGCTGCTGTCAAACACGGCGAAGCATTGCAGCTGCCACACTACCCTGCAGCAGCAACAGCAGCAGCAGGAGAAGCAACAACAGAAGCTACAGCAGCAGCAGGAGAAGCAACAACCGAAGCAACACCAGCAGAAGCAGCAGCAGATGCAGCAGCAGCCACAAGAGCAGGGCTCTCCGCAACTGGCTGCAGACCGTCCTAAACCGTTGCAGCGCCGAGCCTCGGAACCTGCTGCAGCAAAAGGAGGAGGAGGAGGAGGAGCAGCAGCAGCAGCAGCAGCAGAGAGCGACAGCAGCACGAGCAGCACTCCCCCTGATTGTCCCCTTATGGAGGCACAGTATAGAGGATCAGGAGGGGAGTTTAAGGGCAGCTGCTTCTTCCGTGTCTCCTCAGCCATGCAGCAGCAGCAGCAGCAGCAGGATGAGCAGCAGCAGCAGCAGCAGGATGAGCAGCAGGAGGACGAGCAGCAGCAGCAGCCGCAGACGGAAGCAGCAGCAGCAGCAGCAGGATTTATAGTTGCGGTGTCTAGGGAGACAGATGAATATGGTTGGTCATATGGAGACAGTCTATGGGGCCCATGGATAAAAAAGGAGACACCTACTACTGATGTACGGAGGCGAAGGTAAGCTGCTGCTGTTGTTGCTGCTGCTGCTGTTGGTGGTTGGTGTGGGTGTGCTGCTGCTGTGGCTGCTTGCGGTGTGGTCGCCGATGCAGCTGCTCTCTGGCGTAGCCGATAGAGCGTGCTGCAGCTGCTGCCGCTCCTGCTGCTGCTGCTGCTGTTGCTTGTGTTGGTGTTGCTGCTGCTCGTGTTGTTCGTGTTGCTGCTGCTGCTGCTTCAGACAACCATATAGTTTCCTGCTGCTTGTTGCAGATGGCTGCCTCCACAAACAGTCATGAAGGTCAACAATTGGTCAGGCACCATGCAACAGCAGCTGCAGCAGCAGCAGGAACAGAGTCCATGCATGCGCCAGCAGCAACAACCCTTAAGTGGGCCCCCAGCGCGTTTTGGCGTTTCTACAACCGGTGTTGCTGAGGGCGAACAGCAGCAGCAGCTAGAGCAGCAGCAGCAGCAGCAGCTGATACTGCTACAGCAGCAACAGCAACAGCACCAGGAGTTACAAGAACAGCAACAGGTTGTCCAGCAGAAGAGCGTGGACGGTGTCTGCTGGCCGCAGCAAACTCGCTGCGGCAGCAGCCGAAGCATCAGCAGCAGCCGCAGCAGCAGCCGCAGCAGTAGCAGTAGCAGCAGCAGCAGAAACAAGACAGTTCTTGCAGAGGCAGCAAAACTGGCGTCTTCTTGGTTAGGCAAGAAACTAAGAGCTCATACGGGTACTCCCTTGCTGCTGCAGCAGCAACAACAACAACAGGAGCAGCAGCTGTGGCTTCAGCAACAGCAGGAGCAGCAACTGCAGCGACAGCAGCAGCACCTGCAGCGGCAGCAGCAACAGGTTATCATTGAGCAGCAGCAGCAGAAGCCGCTCACCTTATGGAGCCTTCCTGCATGCGTAGAAGACGATTACTTTTCTTCTGTCTGTACGGCAGCAGCAAACGATGCTGCAGCAGCACAAGCTGCAGCAGCAGCAACAGCAACAGCAACAGCAACAACAGCAGCAGCAGCAGCACCAGTCCTTGTTCGCAGCGATAGTGAGGGCAGCAGGGACGACATGGGGAAGCAACAGCCTGCTGCTGCTGCTGCTGCTGCTGCTGCAGGCTCTACCTCAGATGCCGAGTCTGTAACCTGTGCTGCCGCAGCATCGGACGCAGCAGCTGCTCTAGCAGCAGATGCTGCTGCTGCTAGTTTCGCTGCTGCTAGTGCTGCTACTGCTGCTGCTGTTGCCAACGCAGCAGATGCTGCAGTGGAAGGGGCATCTGCTGTTGTGCAACACGGCAAAGCGTCTGAGGCAGAGGAAGCAGCAGAACCAGAAGCTGCTGCTGTTGCTGCTGCTGTCGCTGCTGCTGATGCAGCTGCTGCAGCAGAGGCAGATGCTACTGCAGCAGCAGACGTTACGGAGACACTTGCAGCAGAGGCTGACGAAACAGCAGCACGAGAGGAAACACATGCAGCAGACGCAGCAGCAGATGCAGCAACACTGCAGCAAACAGCAGCAACTTTTGAAGCAGCATCACCTGCTGCAGAAGCAGCGGATGGAGCAGCAGCAGAAGAGAAGCTGGGAGCAGCAACTTCGGAGACAGCAGCAGGCGCAGCAACAGACGCAGAAACAGCGACGAAAGCAGCAGCAACAGCAGCACCAGCAGCAGGTGAGGTTGAGCAGTATATCGAAGAAGCTGAAGGGGTCGATCCCCTCGCTGCAGCAGAAGCAGCAGCAGCAGAAGCAGCAGCAGCAGAAGCAGCAGCAGCAGAGGCAGCAACTGAAGAAAGTCCAGCAGCAATGGAAGAAGGAGCAGAGCCATCACCTCGTGCTGCACCAGCGGAGTCAGCAGCACCAGCAGCAGCAGCAGCAGCAGCAGCAATGGAGGCTTCTCCAAGCACCGTGTCCAGCAGCAGTTGCAATGCTAAGTTGCCTGCAGCAGCACATAAAGGTGCAGAACATTCATCAGCAGCACCAGCTGCTGCTGCTCCACCTCCTCCTCCTCTCCCCCCTCATACCGCTCCTCCTCCTAACTCTCCTCTCCCCCCTCCTACCGCTCCTCCTCCTACCTCTCCTCTCCATCCTCCTACCGCTCCTCCTCCTCCCCCTCCTCTCCATCCTCCTACCGCTGCTCCTCCTCCTCCTCTAACTGCCCCTCCTCCTCCGCCTCCTCCTCCTGCCGCTCCTCATCCTCATCCTCCTTCTGCTCCTCCTCCTCATCGTCCTTCTGCTCCTCCTCCTGCTGGTGCTGCTCCTCCTCCTCCTCCTGCTGGAGGACTGCGGGGCTTTTGGTTCGAGTTGCTGGGTGTCCCCGATATGAAGGCGCCCTTCTCCTCGGCGTCCCTTACAGAGGAGCAGCAGCAGCAGGCAAGGGCGCAGCAGCAGCAACCGCAGCAGCAGCAGCCCCACCTGCAACAACAGGAGCAACAGCAGGAGCCGCGACCCCAAGCGACAAGGGGCAGAAGACTATCTTTAAGTTTTTATCGGAGTGGAAAGGCTGAGCAGCAGCAACAGCAGCAGGAGCAGCAGGAGCAACGGCAGCAGCAGCAGCAGCAGCAGCAGGAGGCTCAGCATGACGTGCATCCTCTGCAGCAGATCAATCCAGCGGCTGCTGCTTTGCTGGTATTGCAGCAGGAGAAGCAGCACATGTCTCCCCAGCAGCAGCAGCAACAGCAACTACAGAGAGCAGTATGCTGCCTGCATCGGGCGGAAGAGCATCTGTGGCTCCAGCAGCAGCAACAGCAGCAGCAGCAGCAACAACAACAACGGTGGTGGTTGTGGCGGTTGCTGCAGCAGAGACTCCTAAGGAAGCTGCCCCTTTGGGCTGTCCCCCCTCCTCTATCTTTTTGCTGTTTGTGTGGGGCCGATCTATCCTCGCGAGCAGTAAGAGAAGCAGCAGCAGCAGCAGCAGCCGCAGCAGCAGCTGCTGCAGCAGAGGACGGCCCGAGGGAACCCGCATTTTACCCAGGGCCGCTCAGCAACATACTTGATACTGCCGCTGCTGCTGCTGCTGCACCAGCAGCAGCACCAGCAACCAAAAGCAACAGCATCCCGTCGGCTGCTACGCTGCTGCAGCAGATGGTGCAGTGCCGCAGCCCTCCTTCAGCATCAGGTGTACAAGCAGGTGCTGCTGCTGCTGCGAACTATCCAACGAGCTTGTGTGCTGCCTGCTACATTCGGACTCTCAGGGGACGTGCTGCAGCGGCAGCAGCAGCTGCTGCCGGTGCTGCTGCTTCTGCTGCTGCCAATGCACTCCGCGTGCGCCGCCTCACAAGCGGTCGCATGCAGCCGCCACGAACCGCAGCCCCATCTGCTGCTGCAGCTGCTGCTGCTGCAGCTGGCAAAAGTGCTGTATTTATGGCTGAGGCAGCAACGAATGCAGCAGAAGCAGCAGCAGCAGAAGGCTTGTATATGATGCGACATTTGCCTGAAAGCAGCATGCGAGGCAAAAACAGCAGCAAGAAGAAGACTGGCAGCAGCAGCAGCAACAGCAGCAGCAGCAGCAGCTTAGATGTATTCTCTGCTTATAGAGAGCTACGTTGTGCTGCAGAGAGATTATTAGATTGTGTATGGCGAGGTGTCTCCTTTATGGAGAGAGCAGCAAATATATTTTGTTGGGGTAGCGAGTCCGTAACGGGTTTGCTGCTGCTGCTGCTGCTTCTGGTGCTGCCCCTGATGCTGCTGCTCCCCCTCAGTGTACTAGGCGGCTTCTTTGTCTTTGATTTTTTCTATACAGGATATAAAAGGGGCATATGGAGGGGTCATGCTGCTGCTGCGCTGCAGCAGCACGTAGCAGCAGCGCTTGCTGCTGTAGCCGGTGGCCCCACAACCTTTTGGTGTTTCAAGCATCGTCTGTTGCTGCTGCAGCAGCAGCAGCAGCAGTTATTGGGTGTGCATGCGCAGCAGCATGTGCATCAGCTGCAGCAGCGTCAGTGGCAGCAACTGCAGCAGGAGCTGCTGCAGCGTACTGGGGTATATGTCCCCTTATATGTATTTGCTGCTAGCTATAATGAAGATAGTCTTATAGAGGCAATAAGGAGACTGTCTCCTTTTGCTGCTCCTCTTGTTAATCCTCATCCTTGGTGGCTGCTAGCTCTGCTGCAGCACTCACCTACGGATGTTACGCATGATACAGCAGAGCAGCAGATGCTATTCTAACCTGCTGCTGCTGCTGTTGTTGCTGTTGCTGCTGCTGCTACTGCTGGTAGTTGTTAGTAGTGTTGCTGCTAAGCCAACGTCCGTTGAGGACGGTGCTGCTGCTGTTGGTGTATGGTCAGGAACAGCAGCAGCAGCAGTAGTAACCGCAACAGCAGCAATAATGCCGTGCTGCTGCTATGAGTGCAGCAACAACAGCAGCAAGCATAATGTGGTGTGCGTGCGGTAGCAGCAGCAGTCCCGCCAATAAATTTTAAGATCTCCCGCAAGCAGCAGCAGCAGCAGCAGCTTCTGTTGCTGCAGCAGCTGCCGTTGCTGCAGCTGCTTCCGTTGATGTAGCAGCTGCCGTTGCTGCAGCAGCTCTTGTTGCTGCAGTAGCTGTCTTATATGTTTGTGTATAGACTGCCACATTATAATGTTGGTGCCATCTAAGCGCAGGCAGGTGTTGTTGCTGCTGCTCCTTTTGTACCGGCTGCTGCTGCTGCTGTTTCTGCTGCTGCTGCTTTTAGCTTAGCAAAGATGGCAAACGCTTAAACATGAAGAAGAGACAGAGAGAGAAGCAGACAGATTTAGGACAATATATCAGCAACCAAGCAGCAACAGCAGCAGCAGCAGCAATAGCAGCAGCAGCAGCAGCAGCAGAGTTGTCGTAAATATTAAGGAGGTGTCTGTAAATAGTACTTTAGGAGACAATCCTTCTTATTGATGTCTCCATAAGAAAGGAAAACAAAACCCAAAAATTAAACATTGCTGCAGCAGCAGCAATGCTAGCAGCAAGGCGATTCGCCTACGCTGCTGCTGCTGCTGCACAGATGCTGTTGCTGCTCCTGTTGCTGTTCTTGCTACTGATGTTGTTGCTGCTGCTGCAGGGGTAAAGACAACAGTACAGCCTAAAACTATCCCAAAGGGAGAGGGAGACACTTCGTGCAAGGGGAGAAGGGAACTCACAAAAGCTGCTGCTGCTGCAGCAGCAGCAGCATCTGCTGCAGCAGCAACTGCTGCAGCAGCAGTTGCCTAGGTGGCAGTAAGAATAGAGTAGAAAATTCCACCACATGTGCGCACGCACATCTTGCTGCTAAATAAAATCTGCTGCTGTTGCTGCAGTAGCTGCGGCAGCAGCAACAGCAGCTGCTGCAGCAGCAGCACGAGCACATGCTGTCCCTGGATAATCTTTAGAAGACACCACAAGCAGCGGACAACCTGCAGCGACCTGTTGAAATGTTGCACCAGCAGCAGCAGCAAGTATAGGAACAGCAGCAGAAGCACCTGCTGCTGCTTCTGCTCCTGCTGCACGTGCTGCTGCTTCTCCTGCTTCTGCTGCAGAACCTGTTGAGGTACAAATGTTGCACCTGTTGCTGCTGCAGAACCTTCTTTTCTGCTGCGTTTTCTGCAGCAGCAACAGCTTCTGCTGCTGCTGCCGAGCCTTCTTTTCCGCTTCTGCTGCAGCAGCAGGAACAACAACAACTGCTGCTGCTGCTGCTGCCTGGCTATTGATTAGACGATGGTGATTCTTCCTAGTAATTGTACAGCAGAAGCAAGGAAGATTTCTTCCTCAGCAAGAAAAGAATAAAATTCGTCATAGCTGATTGAATTGTCTCCGTCTGTGTCTGCTGCAGCAAAGAGACTAGCAGCAGCAAAAGGCAGCATCTGCTGCTGTATAGGAGGGGCCTCTAGCCATCCAGCCCCTAGTTCTCCTACCCATGGGGAATCGAGTACTGCAGCAGTAGATGCACGTACACTACCTGCTGCTGCTGCTAACTGCAGCAGCTGCTGCACATGTAGCTGCTGCAGCAGCAAAAAAGATAAGAATTCCTTTATATTTATTTTATTGTCTCCTTCCTCATCAGACACAGCAAATAAATATGCTGCCTCTGTGTGTCTTACTAAAGACACGAGCATTTTCTCTAGTACCTCTATACGTAATTCATAACCACGTCTGCTGCTGCTGCTGCTGCTGCTGCTGCTGCCGTTGTTGCTGCTGTCTTTAAGAGCAGCAGCAACAAATTCAGGGAGCATCTTCGCCACACGTACTGTTGCTCGCGCCTGTACTGTTGCAGGGGTTAGGTCTACAGTGTCCTGCTGCTGCTGCTCTTCTTCTTCCTGCTGCTCCTCCTCTTCCTGTTTTTCTTCGTGCTGCTTCTGCAGTTGCTGCTGCTGCTTCTGCAGGTATTTTAGCTGCAGCAGCATCTTTTTTCTTATGCTGCTGCCGCTTACTTGTAACATTAATAGGTAAGGAGCACCATCTGCATAGAAGAGAGTTGCTTCCTCTATATATTCTGTGGCTAGGTTCTCTAGTGTATCCTTCATTGCTGCTGTTGCTGTTGCTGCTGCTGCTGCTGCTGCTGCAGGAGACTCATCTGGTGCCTCCCGCAGCAAAAAGGAGACACTATCTGCTGCTAATAGTCCCTCTAAGGCAGCAGATGTTATTGTTGGCTTACCTGCAACAATCTGCACAAGACGCAGCGCCTGTGGCAGTGCTAAACCCTCCTCCTCCTGTTGCTTCTGCTTCTGCTGCTTCTGCTGCTGCTGCTGCTGCTCTTTGGGGGGGGGTATAGGGGTTAGGGGGATATTTAGCGCATGCAGCAGCTGCTTAAGGTAAGAGACAGTAAGAGGCCTAGTAAGAGCGTCTCCTAGTGCTGCTCTTATAAGACGAGCTGCTTCCTTTAAGGAGACAACTGCAGCAGTGTTTCCTTTGCCGCTGCTGCTGCTGCTGCTGCTGCTAGTGCTGTCTCTTCGGTGCTGCAGTCTCCTTAATGTCTTCATATAGGGACCAATAGGCTCTGCCCTTACCCCCTCTAATACTCCTATTATCCTTGGGCGACCTGCTGGTACTGCTGCTGCTAACAAGCTGCAAGGGGCTTCTTCTTCAGCTGTTGCTGCTGCTCCTGCTGCTGCTGCTGCTCCTGTTGCTGCTGCTGCTGCTGCTGATGCTGCTGACCCTACTATATGCGCTGCTGCTGATGATGATGAGGGAGATGGCGGTCCACCAATAGTACAAGACACATCCTCTCTCCCTGCTCCAGAGGCTTCACAGTGAGGCTGCTGCTGCTGCTGCGGCGGCGGCGGCGGCTTCTCTGAGACCTCCAGGGGAGCAAGAGCAGCAGCTAGCAAACTGCTGCTGCTGCTGCCGGCTTGGCTGAAGGAGAGGGCGGGTTGCTGCTGCGTGAACAGGAACAAGAGCAGCAGCAGCAGCTTCATGTCCCTCTGCTGTATAAGAAACATTGCTGCTCAGGATATGAGACTTCAAAGGGTTCAAGGTGTCCGCCTTCCGCTGCTGCTGCTGCTGCTGCAACAAAATTATTGGGGAAGCAACTGCAGCAACAGATGCAGCGTTAACAGCAGCAGTAGGAGGAACTGCTGCTGTAAGAGGAGAAACGAGATGCGAGGGAGGAGGAGGAAGTACAGATAAACTCCTAAACTAGGGGAAAGATGGGACAGCAAGCAGCTGCTGCTGCTGCTGTTGCTGTTGCTTGTGTTGCTGCCTTGGATCCACGGCAGTCTTTGCTGCTGTTGCTGCTATTGTAGCTGCTTTTGTTGCAGTGGCTGCTGCTGACGTAAGCAGAAAAGCAATGATAATGTGGGAAGAATATACTGAAGAGCTGCGAGGGAGAGAAGCTGATGCACAGACACTGCTGCAGCAGCAAGACCATCAGCACCAGCAGCAGCACCAGTACCAGCAGCAGCAACAACAGCAGCAGCAGCAGCAAATGAAGCAACGACAAATGTATGAAGAGGATGAAAAGGAAATATAAACGAGCCTAGATAATAAATAAGGTTGGTGGCTTTGGGTAATGTATCTTGCTGGATCTTGCTGCTGCCTGTCGGCTGCAGCTCAGCAGCAGCAGCAGCAGCAGCAGCAGCTACACTGGCAGCAGCAGCAGTACCAGCAGTTGTAGTAGGCCTGCTTCTCCTTCTGTTTGACTAGTTGAAGAATGTGCTAAGGATATTTCAGGTGTACGTACACCTGAAATTCAATAGCATGCAAGCCGCCTCCGCCAGAAGCGCAGAACACCTTATGGCTGACTGGATTAGGGTTTAGGGTTTAGGGATTAGGGTTTAGGGTTTAGGGTTTTGAAGGGAACAGCAGTATGTGTAGATCATCAAATAAAGGCAAACGAAAACATACAGAATCAAGAAGGAAGAGTTTTATACAAGGGTTTACGTCTCCTGCTGCTGGTGCTGCTGCTGCCGTTGCTGCAGCTGCTGCTGCTGCTGTGACCAGTCAGCGAAAAACATCGACAGGGATACTGCCGCTATTTGCCTTGGGTGTACGTACACCTGAAGAACTGCAGCATTGAATAATAATTATTTTCTCTTTAATGTGTTTGCTTTTACCATACAGGCACACAGATTTACTCCTAAAACACTAATTAGAAAACCCTAAACCCTAAACCCTAAACCCTAAAGGACGTCTTGCGTATCCCTAAGAAAAACAAGACAAACGCAACTATATTTTGTCTTTGCAACAACCTTAGCCTAATGGGACAACACATCTTCCTCTTGTACAACACCATCAAATGCCTCCTAGGGATTAAGGTTTAGCGTCTATTGTTTAGGGTTTAGTGTCTAGGGTTTACAATGTTAAGGGTTTAGGGTTTAGATCCTGCTACGGGTAATAAACACTGGGATGTGAGGTTACACCTAAAGAAACGGTCCTTTTAAGAATTAAGTATAAAGGGGCTGCTGCAGCTGACGCTGCTGCAGCAGCATAAGTCGGAGCAGCAAAGTCTGCAGCAGCTGCATCTGCAGCGGCGCGTGTCCCTAAGTGTCATATGCAACCATTTGGCTCGCATGCAGATTTGTGTAGTGTCAGTTAGCCGAGACAATGCAGCAGCAGCAGCAGCAACAGCAGCAATAGCTGTACTCTGCAGCAGCTGCCGCTGTCTCCGCTGCTGCTGGCTCAAGTGTCTCCTTAGGGACAAACAAATCCGCAAACTATTCCTTCTTTGCTGATGTAGCTGTTTCGTTCTTTAAGCAATCCGAAACCAGCAGCAGCAGCAGAAGCAGGAGTAGTAGGAGGAGGAGCAGCAGCACGAGCTGCAGCAACAGGAGCAACAGGAGCAGCAGGAGCAGGAGCAACAGGAGCAGCAGCAGGAGCAGCAGCAAGAGCAGCAGATTGCCTTTGTAGTTCGTCAATAGGGAAGCAACGGAAGCTGCATTCAGAAGTGTCAGCTGCTAACTGTCTCCTTGCTTCTTCTGTGTCCTCTGCAGGGTCTCCTTTTGCTGCTGCTGCTGCAGCGCCCCAGCCGCTGATTGCTGGGCATCCCCTTACAAGGGAGAGACAGAAGAGCCTAAATTCTGCTGCTGCTGCTGCAGCTGCCGCCGCAGCAGGGTCTTCAGGTGTATCCTCAGCTTCTACCTGAAGAGACACAGCGCTGCAGTCCCCTGCTCCTGGTAAAGGCAACTTTGTCTCTGGCGTGGGGACAGCAGGCAGCACAATATTTTCTTGTTGCTCCTGTGCTGCTGTATCCGTATCCCCTGCTGCAGCAGCAGCAGGCAGGGGAGGCGGGGGCAGCAAGAAAGCTAGCAACGAGAGAAACCAGCCTTCAAATGCTGCAGCAGAAAGAGGAGACATCAAAGTGTCTCCTCCTGTCTCCTTTGTACCCCAACTTGGCAGCAGCAGCACTTGGGTACCAACGGAGACAGGTGCGCCTGCTGCTGCTGCTGCTCCCCACTGTGAGGACACACCAACCGCTGCTGCTGCTGTTGCTGCTGATTGCTGCTGCACCAAAGCAGGCGGTGTCTTTCCAGACATAATCGCATCGAAGCGCGCCAGCTTCTCAGCAGCAGAAGAGTTGGTAGGGACCGCTCCCTGCCGCCCTTGCTGCTGTTGCTGCTGCTGCTGTTGCTGTTGCTGTTGCTGCACTTGTTGCTGTCGTGCATACACTTGGGGGAGTTGGTACTGATGAGGGGCGACAGGCTGCAGCCGGAGGCGTGAGGTGTCTCCTTGTAGTTTCCTCCTTGTGTCTCCTACTGCAGCAGCGCAACAAGCTGTCTCCCCTAGAAGCAGCGAGAGGGCGAGGCCTAGTCCTCCAAAGGGTCTTGCTGCTTCAGCAAGAGCAGCAGCATCCGTAGGGCTGTCTATTGCTGCCTGCAGCAAAGGAGACACCTCAGCACCTGATAGAGAGCTGTCCCATTGCTGCAGCGCATCATGAGGAGACAGCTGTCCCCTACCCAACGGCCACCGAAGGCACTCGTCTCCGTAGCTGCAGCAGCAGCAAAGCAGACACGCAGCAGCAGCAGCAAAAGCATTGGCGACAGAGAAGAGCAGCACCAACAACAGAACGCACGAAGATACACACAGCAGCAAGGAGAGAGAAATAAAAAATAGACACTTTGTCCTTTCCTCCTTACCTCTTCCCTCTTGTCCATACCCAAAGAGCAGCAATCCAGTCCCCTACATCTTGTCTCCCTAATAAGTTTGGCTGCTGCAGCAACTTGCTGCTGTCATTTAAATAAAAAGCCCCAAAGGCAGCATAAGCTTCATTCCCTTTTATCTGCATGCAGTGTAATAACAAGTAGGGGACAGTATATACAGGAGACAGCAAACCGGAGACACTAAAACGGAGACAGTAAAAAGCAAACAGCAAAGAAGAGAGACACATGGCTTTCTCCTTACCCCAAAGGGCCCTCGAGCCCCATAGGAGACACCTGGTGCACAAGGCGCATCTTCTGTCTCTTTGCAGTGTCTGTACCCTCAACACAAAGACATTAAAAGTATGTAAATAAATAATTAATTTAAAAGATGCGTGTTTCTGTGTCTGTGTCTTGTTGATGCTGCTGCTCTTGCTGCTGCTGCTGCTGCTCTCGCTTCTGCTTCTACTTATATAGTGTCTCCATCACACCTAAGAGGTGTCTCCTCATTAAATGTCCGAAAGAAATCCGTCTTATGAAGGGCGAAGGTAAGAAAAGCAACAAACTCTTGTAATGCCGTAAACAGACCCCTGCCATAGGGAGTCCTTCCTACAATAGAGCAGCAGCAACAGCAGCAGCAGCAACAGCAGCAGCAGCAACAGCAGCAGCGGCAACAGCAGCAGCAGCAGCAGCAACAGCAACAGCAGCAGCAGCAACAACAACAGCAGCAACACGGACACACATCAAGTACCATGTAGAGGACAAACAGGCCGCTATGTGTAATAAACGCACTTCCTTCTGTTGTTGCTGTTGTTGCTGCTGCTAACGTCCCTTTTAGTGCTGCTGCGTCTGCTGCAAGACGGAAGCAACTGCGAGCAGTTGCAGCAGCAACGAATTTGCCCTCCCACTGAAAGGTGGCTTGTGGGTAGCTTACTGTCCCTCCTAGCTACGTATCTACGACCTCCGCAGCCGGCTATGTGTTTGAGTGTGTGGCTAGCTGTGCCCTAAACGAGACTAGTTGTTTTCCTCCTACAGGGGTTGCTCCCTCCCTCCCTGGTCTCCATCATGCTGCGTGTGTAGCTAACTAGCGGGCGAAGGGCCCTATTGGACACCCTGATAGCTAAATAGCTAGCTAGCTAGCCAGCAGACTAGCTAGCTGCATGAGCAGAGGTATTCGCTGCCGCGCACCTTGTCCAGAGAAGACAGGTTTGAAATCCTCGTGCTGCTGCAAAGCGCATGCAATGTGTTTGTGCAACACCGCTGCTGCTGTCTCTCCATTGGGGCTGCTGCCACCTAAGGGGATCCCCCCGTAAGAGCCACCTGGAGGAAGACGCCGAAAAGCCTCTTCAAGGCCAGCTACAGGGACAGCCTGCAACATTAACACACACAGAACAGCACAAGCTGCTGCTGCTGCTGCTGCTGCCACCGCTGGAAGTACCCCTGCCAACACTCCCCAATGCTGCGGCAGTGGTGCTGCAGCATCAGTGCTGCACCATTGGCTGCAGGAGCTGCTGCTGTGAGGCACCAAGCACATACAGGATCATTTAGGCACAGCTACACGCAAAACAGCGGCAGCAGCAGAAGAAGTGGAAACAGCTGTAGAAACAGCAGCAACAGTTGCAGCTGCCTCTGGAATAGCACCAAAAACGGCAAGTCACCTGCTCAAATTCGGAATCTGGATTAGGATATTCAGGGCAGTTGCTTTGGAGAAACAGAGCGTCAGCTTCTTCTGTTGCAGCTGCCGCCGCTGCTGCATTTGCCCCTGCTTCTGCAGTAGCTGCTAATCTCTCTGAGAGCTGTAAGGCAGAAACAGCAACTGGCCTCGTTACTGCAACAGATGCAGATGCCGTTACAGTTGAAGCAGCGGTGGCAGCAGCGGCTGCTGCCAGCCGAACCCAAAACGTCATCTCCAATTGCTGCTGCCGCCAACAGGGCTGCTGTTTCCGCTGCTGCTGCAGCTTCTGCTCCTGCCGTCTCTTGCTACTTACCTCCGGCCTTTGGTATGGTTTCTTAGAAATCTGTAGTGCTGCTCTCTGAACCGTCGCCGCTCTTCGCAGGCGTTGGTCAAGCAGCTGCAGCTGCTGCAGGAGAAGAGGCTGCTGCCGAATCCGAAAAAGGAGATGACAGTAAAGGAGGCGATAAACCCCTTCTTGTATTAGGGGGGGAAATCCTCTAAAGCGAGGAGTATGCTGGCAGCCGACGCTGGCTCAGCTGCTGGTGCTGCTGCTGCTGTTTCTGCTGCCAATTTGCTGCGGCGCTTGTGGCTCAAGAAGCTGGAAGGAAAGGAGTTAAAGAGTTCCTCGTTTTACAGGTAAGGAACAGAAGAGCAGAGATCAAGGAAGAAGCAAAGAAAAGGAGCAGCAACTGTTCTCTTTAGCTGCATCGGTCCGGTAATCTGCGAGGACATACTAGCCTCGGCACTGTAGCGGGGGGAATATCGGCCGAAAGCAGCAAAAATTACCCGTTTCCCTAATTCTCTAAAACATTAGATTTAAAAAAATCTTGTTTTGCAGCTTACAAGCTGCCCATTCACCGCAGGTCGATGGCTATATGTGCAGCCGACGCGTGAGGCACTGGCAGGAACGGGAACAGAAAGTGACCCCTCTGCCATGTGTGTATCTCTTATACTATTTCGTTTTATCTTCACATTTTTCAGGATTTGCTTAATTCCTTAATGACAAAGTAAAGTTAAATGGAAGCCATCCCCGCCTACGGGATTCTACAGATTCGCTCTTTTCTCCCTGTATTCTTTGAGTCCCTCTCCTTCACCTGTACTTGCTGTTCATGTGCAAGGGAAATAAAAGAAATTGTATTTTGCGTATTTTTCTGCTGCTAATTCAATAAGATAGGCGGCAAAGAGAAAAACCGTATCCAGACTCTAACCCCCGTCTACTGGCCAGGCCACTGGTCACCCAAAACTGACTTCAATGGTCTTAAAGACAAGAGCAGCAGCTCCTCTGGGCCCGCTGAAGGGGGACTTGCAAGTGCCTTCAAGCGCGGTAGAGTGTCTCTGAAGCACTTGAAGAAAGTGTGACGCCTCCCATAGCCCCCTTTAAGGAGGAAGAAATTAGATGGAGGCAAGCGGAACTGTTACCCGCCAGTCCTGGTGCTGTTGCTGTCGTTGTACTGCTCACTCGTGTCGGTTGCTGCAAGTCTTTATAGTTCGTGTATTTGCAACCCTCATTACCCTATTAACCCCCAACCAGCAACGTGTAGCCGGATGAATGTTCCAATGGCAAGCAATTCCAGATGTAACTAGCCGCGCTTGTCGCAGCAACTGCCCATGCACGGGGGCTAGGCAAAAGTAGCAACTGATGCAGCAACTGCTGTTGCCGTCGCCGTTGCTGTTCCTGCGGGTTTCAGCGCTGCTGCAGCAAAAGGGCGAGCCCCGGGATCGGAGTGCATGTAGAGGAGAACTTCTGTCAATAAGATAACGGAAGCGTTGTTTGATAGCTCGGTCAAGAAAATTCCAAACCCGAGTGCACCAAGGGTATCGCAGACGTGTGTTTTAAGCCACAATTCAAGTGCGTACCGAGCAGGTACTTCGTTTCGCACCTGTGCCCAGAAGAAGCTCAGTTCGTCCACAATGGGGCCTTGTCCAGTGTATGTCCCACGCCTCGCAAACACGGTTTCCTCAGGGAAAGCTCTTGCCATCCTTATGTTCAAGTTGCCCACGGTAGCTTCAATAAATATATTACGTTGAACTGCCAGGAAACAAACAGTCCTGAGTTCCTAATATTTTGAAACTTGGAGCCCCTGCGAAGATGTAAACCCCCGTGCCTTACTCCCCTATTGATGTTGCGCTTCGGAGCCTGCTCACAACGTACATGTGCTAACTGGTTTGAGGTACCAGGAGAGAAACGCACCTTCCAACTGTGATGCATGATACGGTTTGCCCTGCAAGAGGATAGCGGGGAAGGGCTGCCGCATTAACAAGATGTCAACAGCGGCAGCAAATAGGTGGTTCTCCAGGTGATCTTTTCATGCAGCCGTAGCCCTCCTCTGTTTGGGTCCATGGTTGCAACATGGTCTGGGCAATTTTGGCAATTACGTTGGGAATGGGTACACGAAAACTTACACGGCCCCAGACAAACCTGTCGCAAGCAAAACTCCTCCGCAAGTGCTTCTAATTGCTCGCGCGCAGCCTAGATCGAGGCAAGTGAGTAACTAACAATTATGTACGATGCCAGTTTTTGCACCCTTCAGAGTGATGAGTGTCCCTATTTTCGGGGTGTCTTGCATCAGGTGTTGGATCAAGAAATGCCGAAGTTCACAACAGGCCGACCCCTCTCCGCCGGAGTTGCAACTTGTTCTGCCTCTCTGCGAAGGATCTCTACCTCAGCAAGTGCGCTGGTTTTTGTTGCATGGACACTCCCCATATCTGGTGCAAGCAATGAGGGATCTTTGCTGAAGAGGGATCTTCGCACAAATCCAGGATTAGTGCGATGCCACCTCCCTCGCCCTTAAGCACACCACAGGATACCACAGGAAGGCTAGCTAGTACTGACTGGAACCCAGTCCACCTAGCCGCTCCTGGTTGTGCTAGATAGACCCTTAGCAGCAAGACTAGCACCAAGAGTTACGATGCTACCCACTACAGTCGTTGCTGCTAGCGTTGCTTTTGGCATCCCACCATCCAGACCATGCACAACAGCAGCCACTACGGCAGAGCTAATAGTATGGACAGAAACAGCAGTACCTTTGCTGCTGATGCTACTGCTCTCACTGCGGTTGCAGCTGCAAAGGAACATAAGAGTCGCTATCCCAGCAACTCCCGACAGGCTAGGGCCCTCCAGTAGCGGAAGCTATTGGCTGTACAGACACAGCAGCATTTGAAGGTATACTTACCTCTGTAGTGAATCCCACAATGTTCTATTCCATGCAATTGAGAAGATAAAGGAAAGTGATGCATGCAGGCCTAGTGAGTGTTCTCTGCTGCCCGAGAGTGCATACAAGTACAGAGCAGCAGCAGCGGCAGCAACAGCAGCAGCAGCGAAACCCACAGTTGCAGCAAGAAGGAAACCAGAGTGCCAATAAGAAATTAGGAATTATTAATTAAAGTACATGAACTGTAACAGACAAAGTCTTGAGGCGCTGCCTACTCCCGCCTACGGATCCAGCCGCCGCCGCAGCAGCAGCAGCCGCGGTAGCAGCGTCGGCAGCAAGTTCTTGCGATACCCTACAGAGTAGCAACTCACCTGTGCGTGTAACCTGCAGCAACAACTGCAAGAGTAACCGCAGCAAAAGCAGCAACAGGAGCAACGGCAACGAGAGCTGGCGCTGCTCGTTATTTGGAGCTTCTCCGCGCCGGTGGTCTACGGGGAGCCCTTAGGCCAGCACAGGTTATTTCTGTATTGTTGTACACTTACTAGGAGCTGCCTCAGCAGCAGCAACAGTAGCAACAGCAGCAGCAGCAACAGCAGCAGCAGCAGCTGGAGGGAGCAGTATGGATTCTTCCGCCTTCCAGCTGGCCTTTCAAGGCCGCGCACATTCTGCTGCTGTGCGCTGTTGCTGCCTGCTGCCTAATGGTCTGCTGCTGACGGGGTCGTTAGACTCAACAGTTGTTGTGTGGCGGCAGCAGAAGGAGGAGCAACAGCAGCAGCCTGCTGCTCCTTCAACTTCTTGCGGTGGAACCGTTGGCAACGACGGCAGCAGCAGCGGCAACGGCAGCAGGATTGGCAACGGTGGTTCTTTGGGGTGTATGTACAGCCCGGAGAAAGTGCTGCAGCACCATAAGGACTTTGTTCTGTGTGTCTCTCCTTCCTCTCTTCCCGGGCAATTCTTCTCTGGCAGCAAAGATCAAACCCTCTGCAGGGTCTCCGCGAACACTGGAAATATAGAGATGCAATACATTGTAAACCCTAAACCATACACCCTAAACCCTAAAAGCTCGCTTAGCCAAGATCTCCCGCCTGCCCTCTGCTGCTCACGATGTGGAGGGCTAGTCATCCATTGGCATGTGTTTAGGGTTTAGCGCTTAGGGTTTAGGGTTTGCTCAGGGACACAAGAGCGCGGTCTGTTCGGTGGCGGAGCGGAAGGATGTTTTGGCATCAGGCGATTGGGCTGGAGAGGCGAGGGTTTGGCATAGAGACGAGGGAGTGTTGTTGCATGTCTTGAAGCAGCATCATGCATTTGCAGGTCAAAACCTTCAACACTAAACCCTAAACCCTAAGCCATACAGTTGGCCGAGGGAGCCCTAAAACCCGAACCCCCGCCTACGGTGGCCTAGGCCTTAAACCCTTGAGCGCGAAAGAGCCATTCGTCCCTTGTTAGCCGTTGTACTAGCGTTCACCGGGGCATAGGGTTTAGGGTTTAGGGTTTAGGGTTTGGGCGTGTGTATGGCAGTTTGCTTGTGTTGGCTGGGAGAGGAGCTGGTGACTGGTTCACAAGCTAAAACTATTTGCTTTTGGACTCAGAAGGGGGAGTTGAGAAACTGCGTTGAAGGTAAGAAGCGCTAAAGCCTAAACCCTACTAAAACCTAAACCATAAACAATATATCCACGCTCGCTGTGGGGGGGGG